GGGGGGGGGGCAAGAGCGCGAGGAGGGGGGCGGGTAAGCGCGCCCCGGGGCACCGAGTGCGCCTTGTCAGGCCTCGTTTCTCGGCCGCGCGAGCCTGGAGCTGACAGGGTGTCATTTCTTGTCTCTGCTCTATTGGGGACGCTGCAAGCGGAGCCTGTGTCACCTCTGCTGCGCCCTTGCCCGCGGATCCCGGCCGCTGTGGAGCCCATGTCCTCGAGGGCTTCCCCTGGAAGCAGCGTGCATACACACAAACATATATACACACACACACACATACATATATATATATACATGTGTGTATATATATGTATGTATATATATATATATGCACACACATATATATGCACACACAGAAAAGTACCTCTAGATAGTCCCTCCTCCAGACGCAAGCGCTGGCGATCGCCTGAGCCCGCCATGGGCTTTTAACAGGAACGAGGGGAGTGGGGGCCTCATTTTATCCTTTTCTCATATTTAGTGGCTCCCTTTGACGGAAACGTAATTTGTCTAATTACCCGAGCGCACCCGGGCGGCTGATGGGCTGTGGAGTGCGCAGCTCTCAACGCTAATTGCTCTCGGGGAAGGATTCAGGGCGGCTTAAGCGAGAGCTTTGCTTCCTAGCGGGAAGGTGGCCGGCTCTCGACGCGGCTTAAGTAGCTCTGGGGTAGCCTGTACCTGGTCTGGAGGAGAAAAATAACCTTTCTGCAGAGGGGAGAGCATCTTAGCTAGGGACTTGCAAGGGTTCCATTCTGCAACCTGCCCACACGACCCCGGCACGGCTCCTCGCAGCACACGCTGTGCAGGAAGCGCAGCCCGCAGGATCGGGCCCCGCAAAATTGCACTCTTCTCTCCCTCTCTGCAGATCTGCACACGAAACTGGGATTATTTGATTATTTCCTTCTCTCTCTCCCCCCTTTTTAATGGAAGAAGGGGCAATTTGGATGCGTCTCTCGTGGTCGAAATAATTTTATTTTATTCAGAATATACAGTTTAATTCCTCTATCTACAATTATTTACAGGGTTAAAATAACATTGAAAAAAAAAAGTCTCTGGAAAAGTTGAGGTCATAGATTTCAAGGCACCATTGATAGTGTCCACAGCTGAGCCAAAAAAAAGTCCATATTGTATAAAAAAGGGTTTCCTTTGAAATGCAATAAGTTACATGCACAAGCTTTACACATTTTAATCTTTTTTGTTTGTTTGTTTCGTTTCCCTTTAAAAATCCCCCATATGCATTCCTTTCGATATTATTCCTTAACAGTAAAACACAGGAGTCCAAGGAACAAAAAAAAAAAAAAAAAAAAAAAAGACCCAACAAAAAACAAAGGTCAGATTCTAATAGATTGTCCCAGAGGCCAGCGCTAACGGGTGCTGTAGGGAGCCGTGGGACTGGAGGTGGGAGTTGATGGCGTTGGCAGCGGGGTACCAGGAAGCGGAGCTCTCCAGGTAGCTGGATGCAGGGGATGGGTTGGAGTTTGGAGGGTGAGCGTGTGCGTGGGCGTGATGGCTGAGGGATCGCGACGAGCCCTGAGGTTCCCAGACCGCCGGAGACTGTGGAGAGTTGCAGGCCATGGGGTCGCTGGAGCTGGGGCTGTGCTCCGGGGGCATCTCCCCGTTCTTCATGATCTTCTTGATCTTGGACCTTTTATTCTGGAACCAGATTTTCACCTGGGAGGCAGGCGGAAGGAGAAGAGGGGAAAGGGAAGGAAACCAACACGGTTACTGGGGGAAGAAGACGCTTCGCGGCCGCCGTCGGAGACCAGTTCCCGCAGGGTCCCATCCCGCCCCCCGTCTTCC